AACTGAATGCAGGAAGTGATGTAATATACATCACTTCCTGCATTCCGGGACTGGAGAGTAGATAAAGGGATTTCGTGTCCTGATCTCCCGTCACAGAGCCGTGCAGGCCACATTGGGCAGAGCGGATCTCGGGAACGGCAACGCCAGCTGCTGGTAATACACGTGATCGGGCGTCTCGAGACGCTCGATCGCTTCAATGTAAAGCTCCTGGCCGGCGGTATAATTACAACGGCCGGCAAGCTGCTCGTTGGGCTCCGCCGTCCTCTCGTCACAGACGAGCGGATTTTTCAAGCCCTGATTATGATACTGGCAGGATCAACAGGACCAAAGAAAGGAAGAGGATGTAATAACTAGGGGTAACCGATAAGCCACCAGTTTTTTATTTTGGGGGTTTACATATACTTGAATCATCCTACAAGAGTATTAGATTTCTGTCCCAACCACTCGTAGAAACAATGTTACTCTCTGACTTGATCAGACACATTCGTAGTTCCATTATTTGGCCACTTTGTTACTGCCCCCTTATTACTTCAATAGAGAGTTCCACCTTCCTTAAGGTGCCCATACACCTTACGACCATCGCAAGACTCTTGTCTTGCGATGGTCGTATGCTTATTGAAAGCTCGTACGATCTGCCCACCTTGGACGGGCAGATCGTACTTGCGATCATCGAAAGCCCGCCCCGCTGAGGGGCGGGCTTCTGATGACCGCAATGCAGAACGGGCAGTGTGCACACCGGCCCGTTCCACAGCTATCGAACGAGCAGGCTAGAAACCCGAGGACAATCGTACGATTCTCGGCGGGTTTTGGAGCATGCAGGTTCGACAAAAGACGTGCAACCGTACAGTAGAAACGGTCGCACGCCTTCCATACACTGTACGATTCTCGTACGATCGCAGGATTTCCCGCGATTCTCGTACAGTGTATGGGCACCTTTACACCTCCTACAGACAACAGTTATAGGGGTATGATATGTATATCCCTGCACCCCCCTCCCTGTACTTCTCTATACAGGCCATATATGGGGGTATGACATGTATAGGGTAAGGTATATCCAAAGCCCCCTCTCCTTACTCCACTATACAGTGCAATGTATATACCAGCCCCCCCTCCCCATGCTCCTCTATAGTCCATATATAATGGTATGACATGTATAGGGTAATGTATACCCATTTTTACTGTACGGTCGCACGTCTTTTGTCTAAGGAGCATGTTCGAAAAACCAGCCCCTCCAGTTGGACTCTCGGCGCTGCTCCTCCCGCTTCCCTCGCCTGGCTCCCCGCGTGCTCCGGCCCGGTGCGCCCCCCGTTGTACAGTATGAGAACCGTGTGGCAGCGATCAGACCCAGAACGGCCGCAGCGCTTCCTCTCCTCCTCCCTGGCCTGTCAGGGCCCTGGCCGGGCGCTTCACGTGGTAACTGAACAGACCCGACAAGAGGCAGAGGCCAAAATGGCGGAAGGAGGAGGGACGGCTTCCCGGGTCACAGGGAGATCGGCGCCTGCGCCATGACCCTGTGCCCGGCTCTTTCCGCTGACAGCTGTGTACGCCCACCGAGGACACGGGGTGCCATGCAGGGCGATGAGCCCGAGACATGCTGTAGCTACAGCGGCCCCTCATCAGCCAGGCCTCACTGTGGGCGCCATGACCAGATTGGTCTACGTGTTACTGCCTAGGGTTTGTCTGTGGATGGGAATGGCTGCTTACCATGTGAATGTTTCGGAGTTGCTTTGCACTGTTTGTATTCACATTGATGTCTCTGAACATGTGCTCAGGATATTTTGCTGCACAGAGTGCAAGTTGTCTCAATAGGACGTGTTTCTGTTCATATGCTGTGCACACTACTGGACTGAACAGACCATCACACATAGAGAATGACCACAGCTTCAGTGCTTGCACTATCCCCCGTCCATGCCACTACAACTGTGCTAAGTACCGTTAAAATAGAGTTTAGTGATTCCCCTACAACATTCAGTGGTTTCTCCCACCCACTTCCACATTGCTACTGTGTCCTGTAGGGATGTGAGGTCGGCGGGAGGAACCACTGAGGATTGTGGGGGACACTTGCGTTGAGTCACGTCCATGTGCATTGGACGTGAATGCACGTGGTGTGAATGCACCCTAAAACATATCCATAAGTAACAAAATGAGATAAAAAATATTACAGATGCAACATCTAAATGCATCAAGGCCTTGCCAATGCTCATCATCATACAGAGCAGAGCTTCATTTGTAACAGAACAAGACTTCAGAACTTAGATTTTAAGCTCCTTGAGAGCAGGGACTGATGTAAAGCGCTGCATAAATTGTCGCTATATAAATACCTGTAACAAATAGATGTATCACAATATTGTAACAAAACAAGACTTTGTGGAAAAAAACAAAACTTTACAGAGGTGATTGAACTAAAGAGTGTGTAACAGAAGAGGACTTTATAACTATTATGCATCCCAAGAAGAAGAAAAAAGGATCCTGTCCCAAGGCCCCTTTCACAAGTCTATGGGTAACCGTGTGGAAATGGACAGGTGTCAGTTTACACCCAGTTACCCCCTGCAGTTTTTTCGCCCATTGCAAGCTGAAGGAAAAAAACTGTACCTTTCCTTATATTGTAAAGCGCTGTGCAAACTATTGGCGCTATATAAATCCTGTATAATAATAATACACAGATGTAACAGCAGTGACATCGCTCCATACTGCTCTGATCAGGAGGAGAATCGTACGTGGATCCCCTTCTGATCAGCCCATGTGAAAGGGGCCTTAGGTAGGCTCACACTGTTTATTTCAACTACCTGTATGATATGCATTTTGTTTCCCTGATGTTTGACACAAATGTAATTGGAACCAGTGCGAGCGTACGAGAATCGTGCAGTGTATGGAAGGCTTGTCGACCGTTTTTACTGTACGGTCGCACGTCTTTTGTCTAAGGAGCATGTTCGAAAAACCAGCCCCTCCAGTTGGACTCTCGGCGCTGCTCCTCCCGCTTCCCTCACCCGCCTGGTTTGTGGCATGCTCGGGAGACAAGTGCCAAACGGGCCGGTGTGCGCATGAGCACACGGCTCGTTCGGCATTGCGGTCATCGGAAGCCCGCCCCTCAGGGGGCGTGACTTGGGATCATCGCAAGTACGATCTGCCTGTCCAAGATGGGCATATCGTACGTTTTTTTAAATTACTTTACAACCATCGCAAGACTAAGGTCTTGCGATGGTTGTAAAGTGTATGGCCACCTTTACCTTTATTTTCCATATTTATGATACTGTCTATGCAGTTGTTCCAGTAGTTACAAAGTAGTTACAAAGTAGTTTTGTTACAATGTTGTGATACATAATTATAGTTCTGAAGTCTTATTCTGTTACATGCACACATGAAGCTCAGATCTGTTTTATGATGAGCATCAATGCAAGGCATTAATACATTAATATGTTGCATCTGTAACTTTTTCCCCTCTCATTTTGTTACTTATGCATATGTTTTAATCATTAGCAATGTTATCACACAGTTTTTAAGAATGGCTGTTATGTAATTTATATTCATCATATTTTCCCATGTGAGACTGCATCAGTTATTACAGTTTGATCAGAATCTTTTTTTTCAGATACACATACTTTTTTTTAAATAAATGTTTGAACTTATTATTATTATTTTATTCATCATGCTGTATGTTTGTCTTATTGTATGTTTGTCTCCAGAAGGATGTACAGTGTCAGCACTAATTCAGAGATGATTTCAGGATCTACAGCGGAGTGATACACAAATAAGATACATTTTTATGAATTGGTAAAGTACTTGAATGCATTTATAAGATTTAATTCCTGAGTTTTGTGTCACTTCATTTGATTTGTGAACAATTAAAGGCACGTTTGTACTCTTTCACCTTTTGGCTTAGTGCCCTTTACAGTATTTCTGAACATTGAGTCCATCTGGTTACCCTGCAAAGAGGCCGGTCTTGTTTGGAAGTTCTCTTGTCTGAGAGTTTACTTGCAAACTTTCCTGTATCTGGACAATTTGAGAGAGCACAGTAATCCCAGCACTTCTTAAATGTGTTCCTGGCATTACTGTGTGTAGGATAGACTACTACAGTGATTTTCAAGGTCTCCAGAGGTCACATACACATCATTACATTGAGCCAAGCTGGAATAATGTACAGTGTGGCAAATAATTATTTGATGCCCGGCAGATTTGGTAAGTTTTCCCACTTACAAAGAAATGAAAGGTCTATCATTTTTATCATGGGTGTATTTTAAATGATAGAGACAGAATATCAACCAAAAATCTAGAAAAAAACACATGATACAAATGTTATGAATTGAGTTGCAGTTCAGTGAGTAAAATAAGTATTTGATCCCCAAGCAAAACATGACTTAGTACTTGGTGCAGAAACAAGAGGTAAGATGTTTCTTGTAGTTGGTTACCACGCTTGCACGCATCTCAGGAGAGATTTTGGTCCACTCTTCTTTACAAATCTTCTCTAAATCCTTAAGGTTTCTTGGCTGTCACTTGGCAACACGAAGTTTCAGCTCCCTCCATAAATTTTCTATAGGATTAAGGTCTGGAGACTCCATGACCTTAATGTGCTTCTTCTTGAGCCACTGCTTTGTTGCCTTGGCGGTATGTTTTGGGTCATTGTCTTGCTAAAAGATCCATCCACGACCCATCTTTAGTGTTCTGGTTGAGGGAAGGAGGTTCTCATCTAAGATTTTACAATACATGGCCCTGCCCATTGGCCCCTCAATGAAAATTGTCTCATTAACCGCTTCAGAAGCTTAATCACAATTGATGGAATCATTTTAGGTAGCGATGTCCCGATATCAATACTAGTATCGTTATCGGGGCCGATACCAGGCATTTTCACAAGTACTTGTACTCATGAAAATGCCCCGATTCTTAAGGCCTATACCGGCCCTTCAAATTTTCAAATTGCAGCGGCCATCCGAGTTCCTGTGCTTGCGGGGACCTCGGCAGCCTGCTGGGGACCTGCATGTAGCTGTCCACGGCAGTGCCTGTCCGGTTGTATATGTCCTCCTCCTCCTTTCCGGCTCAGGCACAGCCATGGACAGCTCCACACACAGCACAGTACAGACCCGGACACCGGCACACTCCACAGCATAGGAACTGCCCGCAGAGCCCTGCACAGATGGACATGTCGCCTGGGAGGGATCAACACGCAGCCTGGTGAGAGTAATTCTGGTGTGGGGACATGGACTTGTATTCTGGTGTAGGGACATGAATTTGCATTCTGGTGTGGGGACTTGCATTCTGGTGTGGGGACTTGCATGGTGTTTGGACTTGCATTCTGGGTTTGCATTCTGTGTGGGGACTTGCATTCTGGTGTGGGGACTTGCATTCTGCTGTGAGTGCTTGTATTCTGATGTGGGGACTTGCATTCTGGTGTGGGGACATGTATTCATTTCTGGCGACATCTTTATTTAACTCTGGTGAGAAACTGCCCTAAAATCATAAGTCTGTGTTGTTTTAGAAAAATGTCACGTGTCCCTTTAAGAAAAAGTATCGGCAAGTACCTGAGGCCAAGTAGTTGTACTTGGTCTTAAAAAAGTGGCAACGGTACATGTCTAATTTTAGGTATGTGATACACAGATACATGCAAGGTCAATCAATTTGGTTAGAGCGCTTTTTTGTTTTTAGTGGAGGAGACAGAGAACTCAATGCGTTTTGCAGGCAAGTATAGTCAGCAGCTTCATCAAGAGAGTCTCGGGTAGATGCAGGTAGGTACCTAAGTACAACAAACTAGTTCACTGTTGGAGCAACGGGAAGACACATAATTTGTACGTTCAAAGACTGTGTGGCCTGAGCCATTTTCCAAGACTAACAGGGTTATTCACTAAAGGGGGAAGAGTTTGGAGAGGGCAGGAGAAGTGAACAATCTAGGACAACATAGCTGGACTGGAGAATTTTTCCAAATCAGCTATTTTGACCTAGATTGCTCACTTCTCCTGCCCTCTCCAAACTCTTCACTCTTTAGTGAATCGACCTGTAAATGTTTGGCTACATAGGTGTACTTATGGTTACTAATATTGGATAGATGATCCCTCATTCTATCAAATAATCTATGGGTGGTACTTCCAATATATTGCTGTTTGCGTAAAGTGCACACAAGCACATGTATCACTTGCCACTCCCTTTTAGATTGTAAGCCCTCACGGGCAGGGCCCTCCTTACCATCTTGTCTTAAATTGTATTGTGACTGTAATGTCTTCCTTATATTGTAAAGCGCTGTGCAAACTATTGGCGCTATATAAATCCTGTATAATAATAATAATAATATAGAACAGACCTGGTTTGATAATGAAACAATTGCTGTATATGAAAAGAATCCCAACTGGAATAGGAGGTAATCACATGTGAGTCCCCCAGATACGCACAGCTAGAACATGTCACATCTAAACAACCCAGTAGTGGCTAACCATGTTTTATTATTTCCCTTAGAGAGAAACAAACTAGATGATCTCATGTTTCCTATTGTAGGGGCTTTCCTTGCCAAAAACACACACCCATAGATATACTTCTCTCAAATTTAAGTCACCTTTCAGAATAGGTAAATATCTTTGTATAATCTTTTTGATCCCTTCAAATTCCAGACTATACCTAATGCAAAGGTGATCGGTTGGGACTTCCTTCTATTTGTATATCCTCTACCCATTTTAACTTTTTTACCTTGATCTTTCCAGAATTGCTCTCTGGGTGTTTTTCTGGCATATTCATAAACTCTCTGGACTCCAGATCTATCATACCCCTTCTCAAGAAACCTATTCATCATCAAATGGGCTTCTGATTGATAAGTTTGCAAAGTCGATCAATTAGATCTAGCCTTAAGGAACTGGCCCTTCACCGAGTGTGATATTTGGGGAACTTAGCACATGGTGAGAGCTTAATGACCAATCTCGAAGCTGTTTTAACATAAAAAGGACAGTCTTTTATTTCTTCCATAACAGAAAAATAGCTCTCTTCAGTAAAAACAATGTAAGGACCGCTTGTCTTTCAGCAAACATAACATATTACAATGTCTCACCGACTCAAGTTTATCGCATACACTCCATGTGTCCAGGACTTTAGGGTTTTTCTCAACAGAGCCACAGTCCATAGCAGTACTCAATACTGTTTAGCAGCTCCCAATGGCTTTCCACACCTCTTTGTGTGATTCTTACACACATCCCTCCTGTGTCACTGGCTCTGTCAGCTTCCTTGGCTGTCTCCCATGTGCCTCCAGCACACACGCCACTTGGCTCCATTCTGACTCGTGGGTGGAGTCCTCCTACCTCCTGAACAGCGACCTTCCCTGACTTCCAGATGGAGCCCTGAACATTAGCTAGCACCCTTGCATTAGGGCTGTGCACAGGTGCAGAATCATTGGGTGCTGGTCACTACTAAACCACAGACTCAGAAATGGAGATTTCATCCCTCCCAATTCTCTTTGAAATCTCCCAGTTTCAGGATCCCAACTATAATTCAGAAAACCTGGAAAAAACTCAAAAGCCATCTCTTTCCTGGTAAAAGTACCGTATTTTGCACTGCGCACCGGTACATAAGACGCAGGCGGTTTCTGTCACAGTTTCTGTGACAGAAGCTGCAGTAAGCGACTGCTGAGACAGGTGGCCCTGTGATTACAGCGCCACGGTCTCAGTGATCACACAGAGCAGACCAACAACGGACGTTCTTCGTCGGCTCTATGGTGAGCTCCTATCCCGTGGTCACGGGTCCCCCAGAGGAGCGGTTTTAATACAAGTGATCTGAATAGATCACTTGTATTAAACGAGCAGCGGCTTCCACTGTACGTTTAGCAGGGGTAAATGTACAAATAACTAGGGATTCGCTCCATAAGACGCACACACATTTCCCCCCACCTTTTTTTGGGGGGGGGAAGTGCGTCTTATGGAGCGAAAAATACGGTACTTGCTTCCTGGAACCCCTCAGCCCCTCTGGCTGAGAGTCCTGGGTGACTATGATGCCACAATATACCGTGGTATTGCCACGCAATTTCACAAGAGGTATAGCTCTCTTAACATTGGTAAGGTGACAACTATCTTCTTTTAAAAGGGTGTTCCTTGAGATAAGAAGGGCTTACGATAGACCTCGGAGTGCACCCTGTTGCCTTCTATTGTCCCAGTGAGAGTGAGATCTAAATAATTAGTACACATTTCCTGTTCCTCACACGTGAACCTCAAATTCCAATAATTTCCATTGATGTATGCCAAAAAATCTTTCACTGGAAAGCCCTTCTCCGCAACAAAAATCAATATTTAAAAAGAAGGATTTTTTTTGTCCTCAAGAGGGAGTCTTGGTTGTGTGTGGTTTTTTTCTGCACGCTGGTGACACCTTGTGCTCACTTTACAGATTGAATTCCGCTTTGGAAGGTCAAGGGCCCATTTCCACTGTGGTTTGCAAGGAGACGTCTGTTTCACTGTAATCAAGGGTACAGTTTCCATGTATGTTTCTTTGGGTTACAATTCAGTCTGCAGTCTACACTGGCCCAGTTCACAAACCAGAAACAACACATGCAAACCGGATACATCTATGTTTTTAACATAACAACATGGAAATGGGCTCTAAATGGGGTCTGTGATATGGGAAGCAGAAAGAAACAGGAGGTTACACAGCACCAGCTGTGTGGATGCATTGGATTACAAAGACCTCTGATGATGAGAGAATTTTCTGACTTATGCAGTGCTGCAGCATTCCCTGGATAGCACTAGTAACTCAGTGATTCATTTCATTAGTTGGTGAGAATTGCTCTTTAGTCCTCTTTTGGGTCAAAGGAGTACATTTACATGTATTCCTATGAGCAGATCCCAAGGTCAGCAGATAGCAGGCTACTGGCTGCTTTTTGCTCACAGCACAGAGCCGCTCTGCAGCCAGGAAGTATCCCGACAATATTGTAGTAATCCATCCCGCTGCCTGATTGATGGCTGGCTCTGCTTCTCTAGAGCCAGAGCCAACTGTACTGACCCCCACCCGCCTGTCCCTCCAATGAGCGTGAGAGGAACAGAGAGGAGAGGGGGGAATCCCTGTGGGGTTTGGTGACTGACAGTCGCCACTCTCTGCAGGGAGAAGACCATGAGCTGAGCGATCAGCGCTTTGTGATCACTCAGCTCTTAATCTACAGGTGAAACTCGAATAATTAGAATATCGTGCAAAAGTAATTGCAGAAAGTGCTGCAAAAGGGGCCCAAACCAAGTACTGAGTACATATGCATGCTTGTACTTTTCAGAGGTCCGATATTGTTCTATGTACAATCCTTGTTTTATTGATTGCATGTAATAATCTACTTTTTTGAGGTTGTGGATTTGGGGTTCTTGGGGTTTTCATGAGCTGTAAGCCATAATCATCACAATTATGACAAATCACGGCTTGAACTATCTTGCTTTGCATGTAATGAGTCTATCTCATATATTAGTTTCACCTTTTAAGTTGCATTAGTGAAATAAATGAACTTTGCACAATATTCTAATTATTCGAGTTTCACCTGTATAGAGCCAGCATGTGACAGCTACAGTGTCCCACACCGTATCTAAGTATTGGGAAGAATACATTTTACTCTGACAATGCTTCTCCTTTAAGGCTGGATTCACATGATCTTTAAAAGGAAGCACCTGGCAGTTAGAATAGACTATCAGCACAACATTTTTCACTTAAAGGAGAACTATGGGGTTAAAGTGACATTAAACCCTCAGATTTTTTTTAACATAAACCAATAGTGTAATGTGTGGCTTACTGTAATCCATGGTTGTTTCCCTTCTCTTTGCTGCTCTTCCTTTTAAATCCTCATGTCTTCTCATGCTTGGAGATAACTTCCCTTTTCAGCTCAGGGCCTCTTCCTGTAGTGCTGGCTCAGGTTACAAGCCTATACAAACCTATACACAGACACCGTGTATCCATTCCTGAGACAAGGCAGTCTGCTGCAAAACAGAAGTTCTGCCCAGCATGAGAACACATACAGATTTAAAAGGAAGAACAGCAAAGAGAAGGGAAACAACCATGGATTACAGTAAGGCACACATTACACTATTGTTTTATGTTAAAAAATCTGAGGGTTTAATGTCACTTTAAGTCTTTTCCCCATAGTTCTCCTTAGGGTAATGGGAGGACACAAACTAGCGTCCTCCCGTCACCCTAAGCTCAGTATACCGCGAGCTGTAGCTCGCGGTATACTGAGACGACGCAGCTGAAATGCACTCACCTCATAGTTCTCCTTTAAATATAATCCTCAATAGCCACAAAGGATTTAACTCCACTTTGTGTGCACCAAACATATTTGCAAACATAGATATTACCATATAAAAGTAGCAGTGACATAATCACTGTGCTGCACATAACTTGTGCAGAGAGCAGAGCAGTGGGAGGGACCCAGCACACCCACCTGCTACAGGCTGCTTGCAGAAAACCATAGGAGGGGGCGGGTACAAGACCAGTCATCCTGCACAAGGTGAGCAGGTTTATACTTACCTGTCCAGGGGCTGGTCTGCTAAAAGTTCTGCTCCCTTGCAAAGCTCCATGTACTAACAATATCAAACTCTTCTGATGGTAGTATAGTAGAATATCAAGCCATGAAGCTCTGCAAGATAGTGGAGTTTCAGCAAACCATTCGGTGAACTGCAAAATCCTGTGAAAGGAGAAGGTGTACACCTATTTTGTTCACAGGATTTTACCGTGGGATTTATTTTTTGTATCCCCCTGCATTCATACTTACCTTATTGCCTGCGGTCTCAACTCTTCGTTTACTCTCTGGCCAGCAGATCTCATGTGCACCAGCCATACTGATCCAGTAGCATTCAATAGGAGTCTATGGGGCCATCACCTGAGTGTCTATTTACTGTCACTGAACATACTTTTTTAAAGAATAAAAATACATATGATTTGCATGCATGACGTTCCTGCTGCTGGTGGCTATTTCTGGTATGTGCATCTGCCTTCTTAGGCTGCATTCACACAGGGCATTCTGGGATTCTTGCGGCAGAAATGCCAGGTGTCCTGTTCAGATGTACCCATTGAAGTAAATAACGGTGACAGGGACTGCATCTGTCAGCGGCAGTGCGCATGTAATCGAACGTGGCATGATTACATGTGGTTTGGGATAAATGATTGTCCCTGTACGCATCTATCCCAAACAGCATGTAATCATACCGTATATAATTACATGTGGACTGTCGCTGTGAGATGTGGCCCCATCACCTTAACTTCAATGGGTACAGCAGCCGCATCTGAACAGGGACACCTGGGATTCCTGCCACACGATTCCATAGGTTTTGATAGTACTGCAGGGAGACAGTACCATAGCTGCTGACAGTCACTGGACATGTGTTGGATAAACAGGAATCAAGCTGATCATGCAGGTGCACTGTGCATTGGCACGTCAGCTTTAAGCCCGGAGAAGACATGAGCGATTCGGGGCGCGCAGTCCTGCACAATTGCAGACAGCGATTGTCGTGCGGCCCCATTGATTTCAATGGGGTGCATCCGTGCGGCAATCGCAGAAAAAAGGTATATGTACCTTTTTTTTGTGACACGGCGCGCTGCTGTTTTAGTCGGGAAACCGCGCAATCTGCCCGGCGTTATTGGGGTGCCAGAAAATAATGGCACCCACAGCGTGACCATCGGTGATGGGCGAATCCGTGACCGCGCGGCAATCCGCACACGATTGCTGCGCGGTCACAGATCGCCCAGGTGTGCACCGGCCCTTAAGGGTTTACTCCTACGCGATTTATCGCACGGATTGAGTCACGCGATGTCGTGCAAAACACAGATTTGCATTGAAATCAATGGAGGCTGTTCACACCTTTGCGGTTTGTCGCGCAGACGAAATCGCCTGTCACGCAAAAAAGGTGCAGGAGCTATTTTCGGGTGATTGTCGCGCGGTTGGGGTCCCATAGACATCTCTATGCATTGAAAACCGCGCGACAGCTGCACGATTTTCAAAGAACAGTCGCGCAAACGAAAACACGTGAAAACCGCTCACCAGCTCGGTTGCCTAGGTGTGAACCTAGCCTTAGTCTGCAGTGGGGCCATGCATCCATGGGTGACACTGCTGCTCCTGCATTGAAAGACAATTTTTGTGTTTTGTATATATATTTACATGTTATTTGTTATTGTTTATGTGCACTTTTTGTGTTGCTACAAAACACCTGCTGGATCACTTTTACTACACAATTTAAACCAGCTTCACGATCTTTAAATAAGGTTATAGCTTTCACATTTAAAAATAATTTGCATATGAAAGAAACTGGAACGCATCTGTTCTTGTTTTTTTTTAACCCCAGTTGAAGTTTCACTGAAAATCCGTTGCTCTGATCTGACAAAACACCGTTGGAATACTCATATGGAAGATCTCTGCAGATCTTCTAGTAATGCCTGTTCTGCAGCCTACAGTTTGGTGCTCGTTGCCTCTTCCTTAGTAAGGGGAGTAAAGCGATTGCCGATCGAATCTCTCGCACTTTACTTCGCCATGTTGGTGTCACCGGTAACGAAGATTGTGAGAGGACCTGTCTCTAGAAGTGAGTGTGATATAGTTACCCGTCCTCGGTGTCTGATACACCTCATTCACGATGATGATAATAATAATGATAAAGGAGAGGCTGATAAAATACACGAAATGGGTTCATATGATTTCCATGCATGCAGCATCCCTCCAAGGATGTACCTGTGGGCCCTCTGTACTCCTAGGAGATCGCTGATGGTACTTTTAGAAAGGGGATGGAGGGTTTTTAAACAATATATATGTGCTGCAAAAGAGATCAGCCAGATTGACCCAGATGACATTGGCCATTAGCTGTATGTAATGACAGTTCTTCTACACTAGGGGGAATGTATTAGCCAATAATACAACACAATATAGCCAGGTACATTAGAGGGGAATTTATCAATCTGGATGCATCGTCTGCAGGGGAATTGATCAGACTGGAGCAGACGCCCATTGTATCCAATCAACTTCTCTCTTCAGTTTGTTCATTTAAGCTTTGAAAATGAAAGAGAATCTGGTTACTATGGGCAACTGCTCCAGATTCTGTCTGCTCCAGTTTTGGTATATTGCCCTGCAGATGATGCATCCAGATTGATAAATTCCACTCAGTGTCTTTTAAACTGTGGCATTCCTGTTTTCTAGTACATATAGTAGAAGATGTATTATCCTAGTTTGTAATGCATTCATAAATCCCTTAGGACTGGTTGAAGCTGAGCATATTGTCACAGCTGATTCAGCCCAGCAAAAAGCTTCCCCCCAAAAAAATCGCCATCATTCTTACGACCCCTGTTCACAGCTGAGCGTTTTGTCACAAGAAGCAAAACGCCTGTCGCTGGAAAACGTGCATGAGCTTCTTTTTGGCAGATTACAGCTCATTTTGTCCCGATAGAGCTAATAGAAAACGTGTGTTGCAATTGGTTTTGCATGTTTTTATGCGTATTTGTGTGTGTTTATGCCATTTTACATAAATGTGTCACAGTTTGCTCATAAAAACGTGCAACTTAATGTAAACGTGCAGCAAAAACACTGTCACCTAAGTGTGAATCAGGCTGTAAGGGAAATTGTTGCAAAGGTGTCATTGTGAATTGTCACATCTGTTATATCAATGAGCATCCATAAATCTGTTACAAAACAATGCAGATCCTCATGAATCGAGATGAAAGACGACAATTGCAGAAGACAAACAAAACTAAATGAAAAGAAAGTTCCACAATCATCTCTCTCATCCCTGCAAATGAAATGCTCCGTGCACAGCTGAGGGAATTTCATTCAAAAGTTGGGAGCGAGGGGGATACCATTGACGAAATATTGCCTGAGCCATTTTTAGTATTGACACTTTGCTTTCATTCAGATGTCAGCTGGGGAAACTCCAGCATTTCTCCGGGTCACTGCCCTGTCCAGGGGGTACTGCCACTATGAATATTAACATAGAAATCCGGGCAGAATTTTTGTTAACCCTTTCAGTGGGGCTACCACCGCACTGCTAGGGTTAAGTGCTCATTTTTGTCTAGATGCTAAAAAAAAGTTATACTCACCTGATCCTCCAAGCCGACTTGCTGTTAGACCGTTGTGAAAGGTGTCACCAGCACATCGAAGATCCTTTTGGAATCACCAAATGCTCATTTTATTGAACAAGTTGTCAGAATGGACACAAGCGCTTTCGAGACCTCGCAGGGTCCCTTCATCAGGCTTTAGCATCTTGTGAAGCCTGATGAAGGGGCCCTGCGAGGTACCTGTGCTGGTATCAGTGTGCTGGTGACATCTTTCACATTTAGCTTATGCATACAGCAGTGCCATCCCCAGTCATTATGAGCAACCTTCCCATTATATGGGATCTCCGGTAAGGAGTGCGACAAGAACCTTTCTACTTTTGCTGTTAGACCGATCCCCGGAGACTCTCTCCCCCTCTTCGCTGCAGCGGTCTAAAGTCTGCAATGTAGGAGCAGACAGTCTTTAGTGGCCTTAGAAGCAGGTTTAGCACCTAGTCAAAAACGAGCAGTTAAAACACTTGCAGTGTGGGGGTAGCCCCACTGCAAGGGTTGTGACAACTTTTGCCCAGAGTTCTTCTTTAATGAATGGGGGGAGAGCTTAGAGAGAGAGAGAGCTCAGTTTCCACAGAGAAGCTTGTGCATAGCATTGTGGGAAATGCTGTTTGTCCCTCCCTACATTGTAGTTCTCACTCTGCACAATTCTGTGTCATTTACACAGACTGTCTGCAGAGCACAGAGGCAGCCATTTCAAAGAAGCCATAAGGAGATGAAGGGGACAGCTAAAAATAATAATAATACAATTTATATATAAATGATCAGTAAAGTTTTAAATTTGCTTTCACATGTTAATGTCATTTTAGAAGTCATTTTAAATATTTGTAAATCTACAGCATATATTAAAATAATACTTGATTAGACTGTTCCTGTTATAGGGTGACAACACTCTGTGCCTGTCTCCCAGTTGTGCTCTAGTGTTGTCATCCTGTGACATAGGGCTCCAGTAGAGACTATAAGAGCTCATTTTGGCATACACTATGTAGACGTGATCCATTGTTGTCACTATCAGGAAAATTGTCATGCCATACAGCCATCACTGGAGTGTATGCGTGTAGACAGAAAATAGCTGCAAATGGGTTTCAGAAGATGAGCAGCAATGAAAAGCAACAAAGAGTGTATAAATGCTAGAACAAACATTCTAATACTAAAAAATGGCCATTGTTTATGACACCCAGCCAACTATTTAGCAAGCGAAATTGTTTGGGTTATAAAGGAGTTTATATTTGCATACAGGGCTACTGCATTTCACTCCTGCCTTAGATTAGATCTCTAATTGTGATGAATTATCTATTTTTCTTAGAACATCTTATTAAAAGATCCTGGGACTGTTGTGGAACTAAAACATTTTAGGGGCCGCATTGCATCAGAATACAGTCACATACTGCTGTATCACCGCCCTATAGAGCCAATCTGCAATGGTCAGATATAGCAGTATCATTTCTTTTTGCTAGATGCAGCTTACAATGGAGTCTGTTTATAAATTTTTTTTTTTTTACACAGATTTCACCCAAGTTTTACATGTTTCTTTATGGATTCAGTTGGAAATATGTGCAAATCCTGGGTGAAAGTGTGCGCATTGTGGGAAAACATTTATAAATGGTGTTTATCTAACATCCTAATTGCTGGCCTTATTTAGACTGCCAAGCATGTGTACACGTGTGAAAGTTTGGAAAGCATATGTCAAATTCTTGATTTCATTAATATATATAATTCTGTGTTTCAGTTTTTGCTCGGTCGATGTTCACAGCGAAAAAATATGACCCTTCAAAACCAAACTGGTTTAATGTCAGCCTGGCATTCGGAACTTCATTCGCTCTTTGGGCTCTCGTGAGTATTTAACGGTGGGAACATTTATTCGTTTTCATTATTTCATAGGGAACGAAAACCAGGTAAGTTAAGGGAGAACTATGGGGTTAGGGCTTTTCCCCATAGATCTCCTTAGGGTAACGGGAGGACACAAACAAGCGTCCTCCCGTCACCCTAAGCTCAGTATACCGCGAGCTACAGCTCACGGTATACTGAGACGCCGCAGCTGAAACGGATCCCGACAATTATGTCTGGATCCGCCCAGCTGCGTGAGTAACAGCTGGCTCTGCCTATCTAGAGGCAGAGCCAGCTGTACCCGCCCCCTTCCACGTCCGTTCCTCCAGTCAGAGCTGGAGGAGCGGGGAGGGGGGAATCCAGTCCCTCCCCTGTCACGGCTCTCTGCCGTGACAGGATCGAGAAGTGAGCGAACGCCGGTATGTGTTTGCTAACTTCCGATCTACTGAGGTGACCTGTGACTGTCCCATTGTCACAGGTCGGCTAGAACTATGAGGTGAGTGAAAAGCACTCGCCTCATAGTTTTCCTTTAAGTGCTTTGTAAATGCTTGCTGAATGTGATGCTCTTCAGACTTGCATTTAAAAGCTAAGATGAAAAAAGGTCCATGAGGTCGGTTGGCAACACCACTTTCTGATTGGAATTGGTCAGGACCAAGAAAGAAAAACGGTTGCATAACAGAATGCCCTAGGTACCTATTGTATGGACATGTTACCACTTTTATAAGTTTACTTTAGCACAGGTTTACTTTAACAGAAAATAAGCTGCAACCATTCATAGACAATGTAGCCATAAATGAATTTCCTAATATTACCCTTTGTTACATTTTTACAGCTCTTCCAGCAGCACAATGATGATGTTGCAGAATATAAAAGAAGAAAAGGGTTGGAATGAACCTGTGATACTGTGATGTTTTATAGAGTAAGTTAAAAATAAATGTTATGTAATAACTGAATTGAATGTATGTAAACCTTGTTTTTTTTGTTTAGGATATGCAAATATAAATATGCAAAAAAAAGGAAAGTAATGGAAACAAGTTCTGGTAGAAAATTAGGGCATATAGCAGGCTTTACTAATTTATTTTCAAGCGGGTCTGTTTATTTTATAGGGTAGTTAAAAAATCCAAAAACATTAAATATGAATAGGGGCAGCACAGTGGCGTAGTGTTTGGCGCTTCTGCCTTGCAGCACTGGGGGTCCCTGGTTCGAATCCCGGCCAGATCACTATCTGCAAGGAGTTTGCATGCTATCTGCAAGGAGTTTGCATGTTCTCCCTGTTGTGCCTGCGTGGGTTTCCTCCGGGTACTCCGGTTTCCTCCCACACTCCAAAGACTCCTCTCTAAAGGTGCCCATACACCTGTCGATTATCGTACGATCGCAGGATCGATCACCTGCCGATTATCGTACGATAATCGCTGGTGATCCCGCGATTGTACGATAATCGGCAGGTGTATGGAAGGCATGCGACCGTTTCTACTGTAAGGTCACACGTCTTTTGTCTCCCGAGCACGCTTGAAAACCCGCCGAGCATCGTACGATTTTCGGCGGGTTAGTGGCGTTGTCGGAAGACAAATGCCGCACGGCCGGTGTGCGCAAGAGCACCCTGTCCGCTCAGTATTGGAATCATCGGAAGCCCTCCCCTCAGCGTGGAGGGCTTGCGATGATCGCAAGTACGATCTGCCTGTCCAAGATGGGCAGATCGTACAAGCTTTTAATTACTTTACAACCATTGCAGGATGAAAGTCGTGCGATGGTTGTAAGGTGTATGGGCACCTTAAGTTAGCCCTCTATGTATGCATGTGAAATAGGGACCTTAGATTGTAAGCTCCTTGAGGGTAGGGACTGATGTGAATGTGCAACTAAACTGCTTCTACAAACATTTGGGAATGCATTGAAGTTCCCCTCACTTCCTGTTGAGTCTCTGGAGCAGAAATTGAAGGAAAGTCATGCCTAATGGTACACAAACAAGAAAAAACAAAACGGACAGTGGTTTTAAAGGAGAACTATGAGATGAGTGATTTCCACTCACCTCATAGTTCTAGCCGACCTGTGACAATGAGACTGTCACAGGTCGGCTCAGTAGATCGGGAGGTGAGCGAACACATACCGGGTTCGCTCACCTCTCGATCCTGTCGCGGCTCTCTGTCGTGACAGGGGGAGGGGCTGGATTCCCCTCTCCCCGCTCCGATCTGCCAGCGCTGACTGGCAGAACAGACGGGGGAGGGGGCGGGTACAGCTGGCTCTGCCTCTAGATAGGCAGAGCCAGCTGTCACTCACGCAGCTGGGCGGATCCCGACGACCATGTCGGGATCCCCTCCGGCTGCGGCGTCTCAGTATACCGCAAGCTGTAGCTCGCGGTATACTGAGCTTAGGGTAACGGGAGGACGCTAGTTTGTGTCCTCCCGTTACCCTAAGGAGAACTATGGGGAAGAACACTGACCCCATAGTTCTCCTTTAACCATTCACTACTCGGGATGCCGATGCAGAGTATTTAAGCAAGTACTTGTACTCGCCCAAATGCTCCGATTCCGGAACTTCCGGTCAGAGGGAGAGCTACCTCTGACTGGCAGTGCCGAGGGAGCATGAAGCCGGCTTCCTTTTCAATCAGGAATCAGGCCTAAATGTAGCTCAGGAAGAATATGTCATATTGATTGGAATTCTATTTCTCACTTCTACTTATATTTTCAGTTTTGTTTTTTATGTGTATAATTTCTTCAATGGTTGTAATGTAAGCTCACACATTGTCATTTCAAGATTCAAAACAGTGTTGCAATTTATTAGGATAAAGGGTCACATTTAGTTGGGTTTTTTTTTGTGGTCGTTAAATGTGTTTTTGTTGTTGATTACATACATTCTAATCTCTTTCTATATCTATTTTTTTTGCAGATGAATAAAGCTCCTTGCCATGGTGGGTTTGTATGCTGTGCAGCCCATTTTGTTATTGTACTCTTCAATAAATATTAATATATCCATTATGTATGTTGTTTTATTTGTATGGGTGAACTTAACATGAAAATCTAGGATCAAGAGACTTTATTTTTTTTTTTTTTAATTATACTTTTTAAAAGGTAAGTTCACTTTTGAGAACGTTATCCCACATTTCCCATTACTGCAGCTTCTTTAGGGCTGGACATGTTTACATCCTATAGAAATCAGCCACAGCAGCCTACAAATCACTTTTACTACAAGTTTACCTAAACGTTTAACCAAAACTTTTTTTTAGTTTTGGATAAAGTTGGTTAAAACCCTTGTCAGATTGTCAAGAATCAGCTGAAATTTGCACAGTGTATGTCCAGCTGTAAGTTTGTCAGCATAATTGGAGAAATTTCTGGTATCCCACCCGGTGACATCTGGGGTGGAAGACCAGAAATGCTGGCAGCTATGTCAGCAAGAAATGTCTTTGTGTTTAATCCCAAAAAGCATTGGAGCACAGGGGAGCATGGTGAAGCTGAATATACAGTACGTAGGTGAGCTTTTTAGAACTTGGCCCTGTATAGACAGTCTTAGGTGGTGTGTCAATCTCATAAATTGTATAAGTGATGTCTTTGATAAATCAAAAGGAGACAGGATAGAAACTGTTATATGTATGATCAACATAATGCTGCTGAAAAAAGACACTTAAAATGTTCCTTGACCTACCAATATATATGGCAAACACTAATTAGTGAAACTCGGGAATATAGTAATTACATTTATATACAATGCAAAAGAAATTCACACAGATAAATATATACACGCATACTAAAAACAATACAAAATGAAGGTTGAAGAAGAATAATAAAAGTATATTTATTAGAAGAAAGATTAATATTAAGGAAAATTAAAGTATATACAAGGTTATCTTCCTCCCCTGTGGCGCTCAGATGTTTGTTTCTTGCTAGTGGGAGATGCTCATAGGTTATGCCTTCGTAGACTGGACACTCCTGTTAGTACACAGCCAATGATAAATGCAGGCCCGTGGTTCTCAACCTGTGTAACCTCAGGATCCACATTTGTCCTTGGTTTTTAAGTCGCGACCCAAGTCGCACTGTAATGGAACGCACAGAAGTAGGGTACCGTGCGTTCCAGTGCGGGCGTACGAGCTGTGGGTGGGAGCTGCATTTGGGGTACCATTCAAATGATTGGCAACCTAACACACCTCCCACAGCAGAATGCGCGGTGGTGCGATTGCATGGTACAGTGCGTTAATCGCACGCTACTATGCGATTCACGCACTGTACTAGTGTGAATGGCCCTCAAAAACACTGACAGACGCGCACAATCTCACACACTCGCAGACATTCTCACACACACATACACACTCCAAAAATATTTAAATAATAAATAACAATATTTTTTTAACAATTTAAGATCCACCCAGTCTCCCTATCTTACAAGAACTGGAGTGGATCCTCAGCCTGGGGTCCGGTGTGGGCTGCTGAACTGTGAGGGAGCTCCATCCATATGGGCATTGCTTCTACAGCTCCCTCCTCTACAGGACATGTGAGGAAGCTGTAAGCAATGCACGCATGGATGGAGCTCCCTCGCGGCCATAGCACCATCCCACCCCACCTCAAGCTGACACTCGGCACCGGGCAGCATATTTTGAATGGCTGCGTGGAGTGAAAACTGACAGTGCTGCGCTAGGGGGAGGCAGAGGAGCTTCTCACCTAGAAAAGTGGAAGGCATGCGGCGACCCTCTGAACACTGTGTCGCGACCCACCAGTTGAGAACCAAGGATCTAGGGCAGCAGTGGCAAACCTTTTGGAGCCCAAGTGCCCACACTGGATCACTAAACCAACTTATGTGTCTCAAAGTGCCAACCCCACACTTAAACCCGAATACTGATTATTTCTTTTAGAAAAACACTTCATACGACCGTCTGAACTAATTATGTGCTTAAATCTTAGAAGAAAAATACAATACAAGAGGTTTTAACTACACTACGGGAGTGACATGTACCTTTTTGTACTGTGCTAATGAGTGAAATGTTCCATTGCAGTGTGCTACTAGGTACATGTCACGCAGCACACTGCAAGGGATCAGTCTCTCTACAGCTTGGAGTCAGTGGTGGAGCACCAGGGCCCAGTACAACTGTGACCGTTGTGACCCTGGTAGTTCTGCTACTGACTTCAACCTATAAAGGAACTAATCTTAGCAATACATTATATAACATTGGAGAATACTGCCAACTATAGAAGACTACATATCCCAGCAATACAATATACAGCAATACCTTATACAGCAATGCAGAATACCATGAAATATAGAGGACTACATATCCCAGCAATACATTATACAGCAATGCAGAATAATATAAGCTACATACTGTGTTGCTCTGGGGTGGCATCCTGATGTCTCCTAGGTCTCTGGCGGGTTGTGTGTGCTCTCAGGTGAGCTGTGCAGGCTCTCAGGTGAGCTGTGCGGGCTCTCAGGTGAGCTGTGCGGGCTCTCAGGTGTGCTGTGGGCTCTCAGGGGGCACTGTGGGCTTTCAGGTGCGCTATGGGAGGGTGCTGTGTGGGCTCTCAGGTGTGCTGTGTGGGCTCTCAGGGGGCACTGTGGCCCCGGACCTGGGCTCGCGTGCCCTCTCTGGCACGAGTGCCATAGGTTCGCCACCACTGATCTAGGGGAAGAAAGACAATAGATGATCAGTACCTACACTGACCATGGTCATATGTTATAAGAGATAAAACTAAAACATTACGACTAGATATCATAAGCAATGACTTCCTCGCCTTCCTCAATCTCACCGATGCAGATGGTCCAGGTCTCCTTGCATGTATTGCAATTGTTCAGCTTCCTCTGCAGACAGATTAAATGGAATTCTGAGCAAACCAGCTATAAAAGTCTTGCATGTAAAATACAGATATCAGTTGCCACCGATATTAACCCAAATTTTCATCTGTCAATGTCTGAAAAGCTGACAAGACTATGGAAGTATTGTTAAAGATGGAATAAATCATTGCATTTAGTTTTAGCACACTTTACCTGATTTAGCACAAATCACCTCACCTTATTTACCCCAATTTACAACATGTTGACAAGGGAAGTTGATGTCATAGTAGATTACAAAATTGAGTGATTGCTGGGAAACCTAGCAAATACAGAAAAATATTCAAAAACTCCATTTTCATCCTCCAGGTATTAATGCGGTTGTCCTGTGCAGTGCCCAGCTGTGCTGAAAAAAGGAAAACATGCTGTACTTTTTTTGTAGCACACATCACCGCAAAGCGGTGGTATAAACTGTACCCACAGAGACAACGCAAATTGCCTTGTCTTTGCTGTGGGGTGCACTGGAGAAATCCCGAACACCTCCTTGCCAAAGATATAGTGAAGGGACACATCATTCCTCCTAGGTAAGGCTGGCCATATACGCTGCTATATTTTTCTAATTCAACCCGTGGGCTGAACGAAAAAAATAGAACAGATTCCTCCATCAACACAACAAGTATGTCGATCGAGGAATCCCTGCTGTTTGCATTGTATTCTGACAGCCGCTGTCAGAATACCCAAAGAGAGTCAGCAGCTCATGCCGGCCAAAAGGGTGCTGGCCAAAAGAATGCCGGCCAAAAGGGTGCTGACAGTGGCACACACTGCGAATTTCGGCCAGTTTCTCAAGAACCGGCCAAAATTAGCACAGTGTATGGGCACCATAAGAATGGTGGGGGTGGGTGTAAAAAAAAAAAAAAGAATTTGTAAACAGCCCACCCAAGCAATCATGTCATCCGGGACTCACAGGTGCCCTCTTGGGAAGGCTATGTCATCTGGGCCTCACAGGTGCCCTCTTGGGAAGGCTATGTAATCCGGCCCTCACAGGTCCCTCTTGGGAATGCTATGTCATCCGGGCCTCACAAGTGCCCTCTTGGGAAGGCTATGTCATCCGGGCCTCACAGGTCCCTCTTGGGAGGGCTATGTCATCCGGGCCTCATAGAAGCCCTCTTGGGAAGGCTATGTCATCCGGGCCTCACAAGTGCCCTCTTGGGAAGACTATCTCATCCGGGCGTCACAGGTGCCCTCTTGGGAAGGCTATGTCATTTGGGCCTCACAGGTGCCCTCTTGGGAAGGCTATGTAATCCGGCCCTCACAGGTCCCTCTTGGGAATGCTATGTCATCCGGGCCTCACAAGTGCCCTCTTGGGAAGGCTATGTCATCCGGGCCTCACATGCGCCCTCTTGGGAAGGCTATGTCATCCGGGGCTCACAGGTACCCTCTTGGGAAGGCTATGTACTCCGGGCCTCACAGGTGCCTTCTTGGGAAGGCTATGTCATCCGGGCCTCACAGGTGCCCTCTTGGGAAGGCTATGTCATCCGGGCCTCACAGGAGCCCTCTTGGGAAGGCTATGTCATCAGGGGCTCACAGGTCCCCTCTTGGGAAGGCTATGTCATCCGGGCCTCACTGGTGCCCTCTTGGGAAGGCTATGTCATCCGGGCCTCACAGGTCCCTCTTGGGAAGGCTATGTCATCCGGGCCTCACAGGTGCCCTTCTAGGGGGAGCTCTTTTCTAAACTGCAAGATCTCAGCGAATCAAATCGATGAATAAATGTTATTTCCTCATCTTGTGCAAGCGTCATATGACATTACACTCATCTGTTGAAAAGAAAAAAGCCTATCCCCTGAGATCTTGCAAGATTTCACAAAATCGCAAGATGTAAGGGGGAAGAATTTTTTATTTTTAATGTTATATGGTGCGCATGCGCAAAATAATGTAAACATCATCAGTGGGACAGTAGAGAAAAAGGAAGGAGAATCTCCCTCCCAATAAAAGTGATTCTAAACACAGAAGTTAAATCTTAAAAATGCAATCAAGTACCTTAACTACAGTAAACTCGCACTTATCTGGCACCCATGGGGATCGGTAGGTGCTGCATAATTGTAGTTTCTGGTTGCTTGAGAGTTAATAGTAACTCTCAAGTAGTGATGGGCTCGGGCGTGCAGAACACGCCCGAGCTCATCCCTACTCTCAAGCAACCATCCCCACAGCCACCTGCTGGCTAGCTACCGCAGCTGAGAGGTGGATGGAAGCAGCTGGGAGCAATAGCCAGCCTGCTATTGGCTGTTTCAAATTGCAATAGCAGGCTAGCTATTGAAGTCCCACCCCCTGAGCAAAGGAGCAGCCCTGTGAGAGAAAGTTCTCTTCAGGCCCACTCCTCTGCTCAGTGGGTTGGAACAATAGCCAGCCATTGTGATTTTAAATAGCCAATAGCAGGCTGGCTTTTAAAAACCCTGCCCATCAATCAGAGCAGTGGCCCGGAGAGAAAAAGTTATCTCTCTGGTCTGATTTTCTGCTTGGTGGGTGGGGTTTCAATAGCCAGCCTGCTATTGGGAAGTTCAACTTGCAATAGCCAATAGCAGGCTGGCTATTGTTCCCACCCACTGAGCAAAGGAGCGGAAATGAGAGAACTTTCTCTCTCAGGGCCATTACTCCCCATTGTTTACATTCTGCTGCTGACCACGGAATCTAGCTGCTGGCCGACAGAAAAATGTAAACAAATAATTTTGTCAGCAACTAAATAAATTTATTGCTAACAAAATTTTTAGTGTGCACCAGGCAACCGACAGCTTTTTAATGCACTTTAAGACACCGGCAAAAACAAAATGTTTTTTTTCTTTGCCGGTTGCTTGAATAATAGGGAGTCTACTGCATTAACCTCTTGCCGTCCGCCCGTTAAAAACGGAAGGACGGCAGACTCACATCAGCGGGTTGCCGTCTCCAGACGGCATTTTTTTCCTGCGCCCGGGCAGGAAAGACCCGCTCGTTTTTACAGCCGTTAGCGGCTGTTTCACATACAACCGATCAGCGGCTCTATAGCCGCCGATCGGATGTATGGCGCGATTTTGTCGACCCCCCTGGCTCGGGGGGGTGTCAGGAGGTAGATGGGAGGGAGATCAGCATCTTCCTCCTTGGTGAGCTCCCTCCGTGCTGTGAATGCAGAAGTGATGTGTATTACACATCAGAGAAAAGAAGCTGATGAAGCAGATCTCTGCTTCATTAGCTTCTTTTGGGGTCCCCAGGTGACATTAGGGGTCCTAGAGACCCCTAATGTCTCCATAAAGAGGACCTGTCAGTGTGTCTTTGCTATTATATAGGGGGGTTGTTATCCCCCTATGTAATAGCAATAACAATAAGTGTAAAAAAATATATATAAATAAAAAAAGTTAAAAGTCACATAAAAAAAAGTTACAAATCATTTTAGGGCCATCAATCACTGATAACACTAAACTAATGAGCGGTAAAAGCTTTTCAAGCGTCGCCTATGGCCAATTTTGGGTAATGTAGTTTTTGGAGGTTTCGCGCGCGTGCGCAATTTTAAGGCTTGACATGTTTGGTGTCTTTTTACCCGACATGACAAATAATTGGGTAATAATAAATGTTTTAGAATTTAATATAGGGGAAAGTTTTTTTATTTTCTGTAAAGTTTCCTTAATATAGTAAAAAATAAAAACCGCAGTGGTGATTAAATACCACTAAAAGAAAGCTCTATCTGTCCCCAAAAAAGGGTATAAAATGTATTTCAGTACAGCGTTGCATGACGGAATAAATGTCAGTCAAAGTACCGCAGCGCTGAATACTGAAAAATGGCCTGGATGGGAAGAGGGTTAAACACCCTGGACTTCAAGTGGTTAAAAATACTGGGCCTTATTTGTGTATTACTCGTCTGTAGATCCTCAAATCATCTCTGAATTGGTGCCGACACTGTCCTTCCTTCTGGTGGGTGGCTACTTTCGTTCCCATGGTCCCTGTGTGTTATTAAGTAGTCACCACTCCAAGCTCACTGTGATAGACTACTATCTGAATACAAATGAGTAAGCTAAATGCGAGATTGTAGTCCATCACAGGAGCGAGTATAAGATTTAACTCCTGAATTTAAAGGAGAACTATGAGGTGAGTGCTTTTCACTTACCTCATAGTTCTAGCCGACCTGTGACAATGAGACTGTCGCAGGTCGGCTCAGTAGATCGGGAGGTGAGCGAACATATACCGGCGTTCGCTCACCTCTCGATCCTGTCACGGCTCTCTGCCGTGACAGGGGAGGGGCTGGATTCCCCCCTCCCCAATCCGCCAGCACTGACAGGCGGAACTGACGGGGGAGGGGGCGGGTACAGCTGGCTCTGCCTCTAGATAGGCAGAGCCAGCTGTTACTCAGGCAGCTGTGCGGATCTCGACATCGATGTCGGGATCCGCTCCGCCTGCGGCATCTCAGTATACCGTGAGCTGTAGCTCGCGGTATACTGAGCTTAGGGTGATGGGAGGACACTAGTTTGTGTCCTCCCGTTACCCTAAGGAGAACTATGGGGAAAAACACTGACCCCATAGTTCTCCTTTAATGTGACTTTAAGAGAAGACATGGCAGTACAGGTTTCTCACCTGCAGAAGATACAAATAAATAGTACTAATAAAGGGGTCCGGCATAGTACAGACAGTAAAGTTTGGTAAGCATTATCTCCCCACCAATCTTAAAGTGACATTAAAGGCAAAAAATGTCCACCCTCCCCCCACCCCCCCAATGTTAATGTCAGCACTTGATGTCTCTTAATCCGATCTTCTTCTTTCCTGATGTTTTCATCTGTCCCTCCAGCGGTGCGGCGGGTCTCCGATCCAGCGCTGACTCCTCTGTCCTTGCAGGCACTTCCCATCCTGCGGTGTCTGCATGCTGGTGCACGCGTCCATAGACTTACGAACAGCACATGCGCCTGCCCCAAGATGATTTGCGGCCGCCCTTGCAGTTTCGTTTTCTCGGTCGTGAGCGCTCAGCAAAGTTGGGGGAAGTGTAAACTGCTGTTAAAGCTTTTTTTTTTATTTTTAAACATTTTGCCTATATCTACTGCTTGCAGGCAGTAGATATAGGAAAAAAACCAGAGGGGTTTAGAAACCCTTTAATCCCCCTCCTTGAGTACAAAGATAAAGTAACAATTCAGACATGTTCAAGTCAAGCTATGTGAATGGGAACTCGTAAGGTGGTAACCCAATTTGTCTGAAACTTCCTGCAAAGCCACACACAGGACTAAAGGTGCCCATACACCTTACGATTACCGTACGATAATCGTATGCGATCGACTTTTCGTACGAGAATCGTAACGTGTGAATAGAGTGACCGACCGATAGTACTGTACAATCGTACGACTTTTGACGGTCAAGCATGTTTGAAAACTTTGGTCGATCATACGATGTTCGCATGGTTGGTGGTGTTTCCGTCCGTCAAAAGTCGTACGATTAACACTGCGCAAGCGAAAATAATTGCGGTCAATTACCGCAAGTCGTCCAGGTGTTTTTTTTTTAACTACCGCTGATTGAACCTTTCGATAATCGGGGCAGGATGGGGCCGTCGTACGAAAATCGTACGACGGTTCGATCATAAAATAATCGTAAGGTGTATGGGCACCTTAAGAGTAAAACAATGTGAGTGGCCCCTCCCACTGGGCGTGTCCTGATTACGTGCAGGGTGCTGACCTGGAATTCCTGTGTGGGTGCACATTGTGCGTGCGGCGTGCACACAGTGTTATGTCAGCCTCCTGCTTCCACTGTCGTGACCTTGACTGTCGTCGGGCGAGTCCTGACAAGACTAGTCATTAGCTCACTCCTTATACGTCTTTCCTCATTGTATCAATGCAGCGGCGCATTTCTTTAATGGAAATGCAGCATCATGAAACGTGAAAAAAAATATTTATTAGCACTCACCTAAGCCTGAAGAATAATTTATGTTTATAAAGTTATATACGTAAAATGTATTATAAGACATGAACATGATAAACATTGTAATTCTTAGTAGGTATTTGCTGGAATTACAGAGTATAGATTACATCGACCCTGTGCGAGAAAGCATGTACAACATACGCATGCGCATGACACACAAACACCGGGCTAACGGCCAATAGAATACAACAGAACATGTTGGGTGGGGTTGTGGCGTTTTAAATACGCCCTCCGAGACGTCATGTGCCCTTGCGCTTTCCCTAGCTCCTCCCAGACTGTCAAGGCACTCTTGCTGACAAGGTTGTACGCTGGCTGCTCAGTAATCTTCGGAACTCGCCGTCACCATGCTCGCGTGTCGAAGCGCCTGGCAGAGACTGGTCCCCCTCACCCAGCGGGCTTCCGCCTCCCTCCTGCGCAATGGTGAGCCAAGCCGCCACTGTCTGTCGTTACCAGTCTTCTTCCCTGTGTTCGGCTGCTGTTCCCATTGTGTTTCAATTGCTTGTAAAGTCAGTCAGTCAGCGGAGCGCACAATAGCTGCATGCACTCTATTTCAATGGGACACTCGACTTGTTAAGTGTGCTGGGCTACTGCAGGCTTTTATTCCCCTTGCATAAGTGAAATGTGTGCTTGTATTCTGTACCCATGGACCTCTATAGACCGACCTTTTGTGGTGTGCTTCTATAACCTATGGCAGCAGCTTGTGCCTATAGTGGGTTGAGTCGTGGAGCAGGCCATGTGCTTTGGAATGAAATGTTCTCCCACTTGGAGGTCATGTATTGTCTAATCCTGTATGTGACTTTTATAAAGATTAGCTTAATGAATCTGTAGGCTCGCCATAGATGTCCCAATCACCTGCCCAAATCTATGTATGACCTACCTAAAGTATGCAATCAGGCGAGCCCTTGTAGTACATTGTCATTGGTAGATTGTGCAGTCAGTTTGCAGTGTGCACGGTGAGCTTTACCAGGTGTCTGTTTCTCTAAGGCTGGGTTCACACCTAAGCGCCTCGAATGTGTTTTGTCGCGCGATTCCGAGGGCTACCTGGCTGTATCCCCATGGATACGCGCGACAAAAATGCCCCAAAGAAGCTCCTGTACTTCTTTGGGCGTAGGGCGTTTTTTGTAGCGCGTTCATACGGCCTGAAATACGCCTAAGTGTGAACCATACCCACAGGAAATAATGGGATTTCGGTGTTTGAGCGTTTTTGCAGAGCGTACGACCGCGCTACAAAACGCCCAGGTGTGAACCGGGCCTTTTCACACGGGTGGTCCACTCAGTTTTTCAGGCAGAGCCGATCGAATGCCCAATATAAGTCTATGGGTAGCAGGATCTAAAGGGATGGATGCTTATTTACATCCAGTTACCCCCGACTCCGGCCAGGTCCGGAAAAACGAGCGGAATAGAATTCTGTTTCGCCAGACCAGATCATGTCGGATTGGGGGTAATCTGATGTAGATGAACACAGGTCCGTTTACATCCGATTCCCCATAGACCAGCATGGGTTTGATCATTTTAGTTATGGAGGAAAAATCTGGACAGACACGGTGACATCTGCTCTGTAGCACTTCGATCAGGAGAAGCTCTGTGCATGGATCCCTTCTAGATGGGACTGCGTGAAAGGGGCCTAACAATCTGATTATACAATCTGCTGTAGAGCTACCAACATGTATGTAGTGCAATGGCCTACCTGAGCGGGTACAAACTGATTACATAGATTAGGTGTGTCCTCATATTACATAGTTTTAGTAAATCTACAGTTGGTCAGACAGATTGTACAGTCTCTTAATTTTAAATGTGAGATGAGGTCCAGGAATGACAGTATATAGGACTGTAGTGGTGATGTCTAGTTCAGCCTCAGGGATGACATTGCTGCATTTTTAGGATTTGTTTCATATTGGTACATTTAAATATCTGAGCTTCAGATGGGGAAGTGTAAGCTGTATTTGTTGCTGCAGCAGGCAGATTATGACCTAGCAGACAAGTGAAGGTCACACATTAGAGGAAATGGCGATCGGAAGCTTTCTGGTATTCATGGCTGCTTTTAGTAATGCTGATTGTAAAAGCCTGCTGAGTACTAGATCTGTTCAGAGAGGAATATTCTCGTTGCGCAGTGTTGGAGGTGGGGCTTCCTGTTGGAGGCTTAGTTATTGCTTAATCTGAACGTCCTTTGAATGAAAGCATTGGTTTTAAATCTATGCGGTACATATCGGTGTAATGTGCAGTACATATCGGTGTAATTTGGGTTCTCACAGGGAACAGAGCACTGCATGGGAGATGTGACGCCTACAAGGACATGTGTTTTCTCTGCAGGCCTATGTGAAGGAGATGTCTGGTTGACTGATGATTAAGATCACAGAGCTGCAACGCGATCATTTAATTTCCTTTCCATTACCCAGTTTGGTGGAATGTCAGATGATTAAAAATGTGTTTTTGTTTCCCCCACCCCTACCTTTTTATTTAAAGGGAAACTCCAGGAATGAACAAAGTTAACCCTTGCAGTGGGACTTCTCTTGTACTGCAAGGGTTAACTTTCCGTTTTGTTCTAGGGGCTGGAATATAGAAGATATAAAACACCTGATCCTTGTTCTCACGGTGGTCAGTGCTCACCTCTCACGTCTAAAGGTGGCCATACACTGCACGATTATCGTAGGGAATCGCGGGAAATCCAGCGATCGTACAATCGCAAAGTGTATGGAAGGCGTGCGACCGTTTCTACTGTACGGTCGCACGTCTTCCGTCGAACAAGCAGGTTGGAAAACCCTCCGAGAATCGTACGATTATCGGCTGGTTAGTGGCCTGCTTGTTCGACAACTGCCAAACGGGCCGGTGTGCGCACCCACACACTGCCCGTTTGCAGTCATCGCAAGCCCGCCCCTCAGGGCGATGATCGCAAGTACGATCTGCCTGTCCAAGATGGGCAGATCGTACATTTTTTAAATTACTTTACAATCCTCGCAAGACAAGTCTTGTGAGGGTTGTAAAGTGTATGGCCACCTTTAGTCCCCTTACAAACGGGCTGATCACGGCAGTACGCAGCGGATGTTACCACTGTGACATCAGTGTCCGTCCATTATTTTTTTTTTCCCTCCATTGCGTGTTGGGGAAAAGAACTAAAATTGCTGGATCCCATGTTGGTCCACGGGGAGTCGGATGTCAATGGACATATGTCCGTTTACATCAGAATATCCCTGATTCGGCAAACTTAAATGAATTTTAGTGCAAACGCACGTATTTGGTAAAATATAAAAGATGGGATTACATTTAGTAAACCAAACCGGTCAAGCATTAAAATTGCGTGCGCCTGTACAATGGTAAAAAGTATGGTACTCAAAATTGTCCACAGAGGACACTTGAAAAGCCTTTACTGCTCATCAGTTTAAAGTTAACAGCAAATGCAAATTATTGCCCTAGAATTATTGCTCTCACTGAATCGTTCACGGGGGTACTTAATGTGTGGCGTAATAATTTACATACACATACATATCCTCTGCGCGCATTTGGATCCTCATGCAGATGGCGGGGTTGATTTTTCTTTAACAATTTTTTACTTTGTCGCCCTTTTTTTTTTCTTTTTCACTTAACTTTATTGCTAACAAGCCCTTTTGTGATAGTTTGGAGGTGACAGGATCTCTTTATGGAGACACCAGGGGTCTTTTTCACCCCGGATGTCTCCTCTGGCCTCCCAATACAGGGGATCAAGCACAGCATTGCCCCCTGTATAACCTGCACTTCAGCCGGCTTTGGGACCGCTGTGAGTTCTGACCCACTGATCACAGAGCAGATCAGGGAATGTCCCTGGTCTGCTTCCGCTTTCCATCGTGACACTTATTGCCATGGTCCTGTGTCTCCCAGAGGAGCAGGGGACCCCCGAAAACCACAGCAGGAGATGGGGGGGGGGGGGGGG